ACAACACGGGTTGAAGAGACTTGCAAACATTCGCCGTCACGTGAAGGGGAAGATTGTTAGATGTGGACGACCTATAGGTTTACACATATTTTATTTCAAAAACAAATCCAATCTTTATAAAAATATGATAATCAATGACTGTTGGGTAAATTGATTTTTTGTATTAAATGTTGCTGGCAATTTTTTTTAAGATACTACCTTTAAACAATGAAACCACATTTATACTGTGCTTCATTTGATGTACACTTTTTGTTTTCAATTTGGCAAGCTACAAGATAAATGTCATTCACTACCTCTATCATAATCCTGTTCTGTAATCTTTTTTAAATTTCTTGCTGCAATCTAGTGAAAAGGATTGTGTTGCTTCTTTCTGGGTAAGTTAAATTAATTTTGAAACAAGAACAGAAATTGCTGGGAGAAACCCAGCAGGTCTGGCAGCATCTGTGGTGAATAAGCAGGGTTGAGGTTTTGAGTCAAGGGCCACTCGACTCTCAACATCAACTCTGCTTTCTCTTCACAGATGCTGCCAGACCTGCTGAGTTTCTCCAGCAAATTCTGTTTTTGTTTCAGATCTTCAGTATCTGCAGTTTTGTTTTAATTACAAACTGTTCGATCATTTATGCAAACTTGATATAATCAAAGAACATGAAATTGTCAATCAATACTATCTTGCCAAGTTTTCACAGAGCCAACAATATTCAATAAAATCTGTAATTCCCCCTCCTGTGTGTCGCTATTTATTTCCCTTGTTCCATTGTTGCAGACTTTTGTTCATAGAGCTCTAACAAGGAAACATAATGCCCACAAAATCAAAGGTCCATCATAACTGTTCCAACAGAGCTATTTGAAAGAGCTATTCAATTAGTTCCAGCACCTCTGCATTTTTCCCCGGAGCCCTGACAATTTTTTGCTTCTTGAAGTATTTATCCAAATCTCTCTCAAAAGTTACAAATTGATCTGCTTCCAAGATCTTACCAGGCAGTGCATTCCAGATCATAGGAACTTGCTGTGTTGAAGAATGGTCTATTTGTTTGTAGGAATTGGTCAGCATTTATTCCCCTCTCAAGGTGGGGGTGGCGAGCCATCTGCTCGAGCTGCTACATTCTGTGCAGTTGTAACATCTACAGTGCTGTTAGGGAGTTCCAGGATTTCATCCTATGATTCTTCTGTCACTCTCCTTAAACCTATCCTTTGGTTACCTGCCAATTTCTCCATATTTCATCAGCATCCTCCCAATTCTCTAAGACATGAGGGGCATGGATAGGGTGAGTAGTCAAGGTCATTTCCCAGAGTTGGGGAGTCTCAAACTCAAGAGCATAGGTTTAAGGGAAAAGGGGAAAGATTTAAAAGGGACCTAATGGGCAACTTTTTCACACAGAGGGTTATGTGTATACAGAATGAACTGCCAGAGGACGTGGCAGAGTTAGGTACAATCACAACATTTAAAAGGCGTCTGGATGGTATATGAACAGGAAGGGCTCAGAGGGATAGGGGCCAAATGCTGGCAAATGGGATTAGATTAATTTAGAATATCTGGTCAGCATAGACGAGTTGGACCAAAGGGGTCTGTTTCCATGCTATATATCGCTGTGACTGTATGATATTCATTCAGCAAATCAAAGCCATTGGGGATGGACTAGCTTCATACTCTGCACTTTCCCTGACAGCTAGAGAGATCATGATTGCCATCAATTCAAGTCAGGTACGCCGAACTGACCTCCACTCATACTCTTTTCAAAGAAGATGCATGTTAATCCTTTGATTCTACCAGCTTCAAGGTGTGGCTTAAGGGACACAGTTAGCTCTGGCAACTTTTTTTTTTAAGGCGCTAACATACAGCTAACAACATGCCCTCATTATCCTACAAGGGGTTCATAGGCTCAGGATAAGGGAATTTTTAGGAGAAATCTCATCCGATAGAAGGTTGTGAATCTTCAAAATTCTCATGAAAACAGTGTGATAGTCTGTTATCATGTTCAGCATTGAGGTTGCTAGATTCTGCAAACTTACGAGAATCAATGGTGGGGAAAAACAAGACAGAATGCTCATCATGCAATGAGTAGTAATGACCTGTAAGGTTGAGGATGTGACAAAACATATTGATGAAGGTAGAACAGTGGATGTGGTATATATGGATTTTAGCAAGGCATTCGATAAGGTTCCACATGGTAGGCTCATTCAGAAAGTAAGGAGGCATGGGATTCAGGGAAATTTGGTTGTCTGAATACAAAACTGGATGTCCAATAGAAGACAGAAGGTGGTAGTAGATGGAAAGTATTCAACCTGGAACTCGGTGATCAGTGGTGTTCCACAGGGATCTGTTCTGGGGCCTCTGCTCTTTGTGATCTTTATAAATAACTTGGATGAGGAAGTGGAAGGGTGGGTTAGTAAGTTTGCCGATGACACGAAGGTTGGTGGAGTTGTGGACAGTGTGGAGGGCTGTTGTAGATTGCAACGGGACATTGACAGGATGCAGAGCTGGGCAAAGAAGTAGCAGATGGAATTCAACCCAGAAAAGTGTGAAGTGATTCATTTTGGAAGGTCAAATTTGAATGCAGAATACAGGGTTAATGGCAGGATTCTCGGCATTGTGGAGGAACAGAGGGGTCCACATCCATAGATCCCTCAAAGTTGCGACCTAGGTTGATAGGGTTGTAAAGGTGTATGGTGTGTTGGCGTTCAGTGGCAGAGGAATGGAGTTTAACAGCCATGAGGTTATGCTCCAGCTCTATAAAACCCTAGTTACACCACATTTGGAATATTGTGTTCAGTTCTGGTCACCTCATTGCAGGAAAGATGTGGAAGCTTTAGAGAAGGTGCAGAGGAGTTTTACCAGGATGCTACCTCGACTGGAGGGCAGGTCTTATGAGGAAAGGTTGTGGGAGCTAGGGCTTTTTTCATTGGAGTGAAGAAGGATGAGAGGTGACTTGATAGAGGTTTACAAGATGATGAGAGGCATAGACAGAGTGGAGAGTCAGAGACTTTTCCCCAGGGCAGAAATGACTATTATGAGGAGGCATAATTTTAAGGTGATTGGAGGAAGGTATAGGGGAGATGTCAGAGGTAGGTTCTTTACACAGAGAGTGGTGGGCGTGTGGAATGCGCTGCCAGCAGGGGTAGTGGAGTCAGATTCTTTCAAGACTTTTAAGCGGCTCTTGGATAGGCACATGGAGGATAGTAAAATGTAGGGTATGCAGGGTAGATTGATCTTAGTAGGATAATAGGCCGGTACAACATCGTGGGCCGAAGGGCCTGTACTGTTCTATGTAACTCAATGCCCACAAGGGCTGTGGAACCAAAGTAGGTTAATGATTTTGAAACAAAATTGTATGAACACAAAAGGACTCTGGGATAGAGCAGTGTAATGGGACTTTATTCTACAGAGAGCCAGCATAGACTCAATGTACACAAGGGCTTCTTCCTTCTGTGCTATGTCCTTAACTGAGTAGTCGTACAGCCAACTCCAATTTCTTACATTAATAATTGCCCAAAACAGACAGGAAGTCATAACTTGCACTTCTAGAGCACTTTTCATGCCTTAAAATGTTCCAAAGCACTTCACAGTCATTTGAATACTTCAGAAGTGTGGCTGTTAAATCCCTTTGAGAGCCAAGCCAGACGTACCTTCTAACCACACATTCTGACCTTAGGAGTCTTATCTGGCTGATGGGTGCTGAGAGTTGAATTTGAATTTTATCCTATTGTGCAATCTTGAAAACTGCAAAGACAGAATTATGCAGGGAAAGAATTTGAACTGAATTAGACAGATATACCTGCATCCAACTTCTCCTCCGGTTTTTTTTAATGCCTACGTCCGACTGATTGAAAAGGATTGTAAACTGATGTGAATAAATGTAACTTTCCTTGCAAACAGAAAGTTTGAAATTTAATTATAACATCAAGACAACTTGTTAAACTGTTCATTTTCAAAATGTTATCATTAAAATGTTATCATTCACTATGTGAATAATCTTGGATTAAAAACATGCCTGTTCTAATGTAAAATACTGAAAACCATTTGCTTTTGGTCTGGCCTCACTCAAACTGCACACAAAGCCAATTCTTGTTCATGGGAGTAAATAGTAAAAAACAAACAAGCTGATGAAAGAAGAGATTCAAAGATTGAAAAAAAGCAAAGATCAAACAACTGTAGATTGTCAAATGACCAACTATGTATGCTGAACTTCTCCTGTGAACATTCACCCATCATATAAGGCCCTTTGTGAAATCTTGCTGAGATTGTAAAGCAAAGGCCAGTATTTACAATATCAATGTTTATGGCTCATACACATTCCAATGATGTTTACAAGTTTAGAACAGCTTCTAGCGTGCAACTGTACAGCACTACAAATGGTACTGAGCAGCCAGAGTTGAAGATACTGATACAATATATGCTGACAGGATGAGATGATGAGGTGAAAGAGCTGCATGGACCAGTTTGGATCAAATGGCCTGTTTTTATGCTGTAAATTCTAGAAACAGAAAACAGTAGGCCAATCAGCCCATCAAGCCTGCTCCCGCTATTCAACATGATAATGTCTAATCCTCCGTCTTAATGTCATACTCGTGCTTTCCCATAACCTTTCACACCTTTTGCTTCGAGAAATCTATTTCTTTCTTAAATGTTTTAAGTAATATAGCTCTACAGCCTTCTGTGGCAGAGAATTTCCCAGGTCTCCATCCTCTGAGCAAGGAAATCACTCCTCATCTCAGTCCAAAGTGGTCTATCTCACATCCTGAGACTGAACCGCTGGTCTGGTCCTCTTGCCAGGGAGCATCTATCCTGAATCAAGTCATAACACTTGATAACTTAAAAATAGTTACTAAGTGTTATGATAGCTTCATATTTAGTAATATTTTGCAAATTGTGTTGAAAGATTGTGGAGATACCTGGGAATTACAAAGTCACTAAAAAGATATTGGAACTTTTTTTAATATAAAGGCTTCTTTTTGGAAACCACATGGTTCCAGATAACTGTTGGTCTTGGTTCTTAATCTCACTTCAGCAGAAACACCTGTTTTTACTCTTGTTTTCAGCGGCAGCAGTGCGAGCCAGAGTGCTGACGGGAAGGTAAGGCGGTTTTTGTTTCTCCCTGTATAAAAACTTACCTCGTGCAGCAAGCGGCCCTCTTGTTTTCAGCGGTGGGTGTGTGGAGGGAACGCGAACCAGGAAGAAACAGATAAATTCGGGCATTGGCTAAACCCGAAACACTACACGTGTAGTGTCTCCCACCCATCCTCCTCCTCTAACCAAAAAAGACTGTGTGGAGGTTCGGTAAGGTAAGGCTTTTTTTTATTCTTCTTCTGGAAATCTAGAGTAGAGGGAATGGAAGCTAGGGCAGTTGCATGCCCCTCTTGCAGGATGTGGGAGGTAAGGGTCACTGCTGGTGTCCCCTCTGACTTCACCTGCGAAAAGTGCACCCAACTCCAGCTCCAGCTCCTCACAAACCACGTTAGGGAACTGGAGCTGGAGCTGGATGAACTCCGGGTCATTCGGGAGGCTGAGGGGGTGATAGAGAGGAGTTACAGGGAGGTGGTCACACCCAAGGTACAGGAAAAAGGTAGCTGGGTGACTGTCAGGAAGGGGAAAGGGAATAGGCAGACAGTGCAGGGATCCCCTGTGGCCGTTCCCCTCAATAATAAGTATACCGTTTTGGATACTGTTGGGGGGGGGGGGCCTACCAGGGGAAGGCCATAGCGGACAGGTCTCTGGCACTGA